TTCTTCAGATCACTTATACTCGTCTCCAACCCGTGTCTCGCGTCCGACACTGTCTTCCGCAACGACAACACATTGGCCTCAAGAAGTCTTATTCGACATTCCTATGGCATAACACATCCCATTATATAACAGACAATACATAAGACATCATAAGACATGTCATACCAGTTCCTCTTTGGTGACCAAAGCGTTCAAATCGTTGTCCATTTTATCGCTGAGTATCTGCTGTTCGTCTTTGAGGCGAAAGTATTTGAGCTTTTTTTCAGCAAATCTTTCGGGAATTCGTGTCCTCTTCTTAGAGTCAGTGAACTCTCCGTTTCGGACGCAATCACTGCAGAAGAATATACTTTTATGACATCTGCAGACCCGACACTCCAGCAGATATTTGTCACCATTTTTGGCGATATTCACGCTTTTCGAGTCGTTATCAACCGATCGCTCATTGCATGGGATGTCCGAGAAGTGACTCTCAACTAAAGCGCTGCTTATTGTGAACTCTTGTGGAGCTGTCGAGGAATCGTTTGTGTCATCCAATGTGTCATCCATTGTGTCATTCATTGTCTCATAAAGTGTTGAACCATTCAATCGATTTGTTTTGCGTTTTTGTTGACATTGTTTACACTGTTGTGAGACTTTGTTGTGAGCCATCCGTACAGTCCGTACACTATTGGGTGAGTGGGAGGAGTGGAGGACTGTTCACAACACTCACTATTACTAAGGCTTCACTCAATACAGTCGACACTCACTCACACTTTGCATCAAATATTGATTATTGCATAACAAATGTCTCATTAAATTAAATACGAACTAAAACTAATGAATTTAATAGTGAATCAAACGTATGGTTAGAAATGGGCGACAAATACGTGACACATATTTTGTGAGCCAATCATTGTATGCATACATCAAATACGGCTCGCATTGGCTTTCAATCGTTGTTTGCATTTAATTGTATTTAATGTTAATTACAGTTAATATGACTTAAATTGTGTTGTTTTTGACGACCAATGGCTGTAATGGCAATGAAAGGGTTGACTGGTTTAGTGGTGTATAATGTGTGTCAAATACTGTGTATAATATGTGAGTTATATATGTTTAGTATCACTCAATTGAATCCATCCCACAATTTACCGACGGTTATAGCCATCAGTATTGGCTCACAATTCATACCACTTTTCATCACTCATTCATTCATTGCTAACAATAATCAGGTTTTCATACAATTTAGTCCCAAATGCGACTATATTTTCACTCATTGTAACCGTATTTGTCTATTGCCGTAGAGTTTGCGTGACTTTAACATCATATCCACAATCGTATCCATACTGAAGAGTATTGGTGTTTACTATGTATTGGTTGTCCTATTGGGTGCTCCCATACTATCGTACGTACCATCGATGGTGTCTCTGGTCTTTAATCTAATGGTTAATTGTGTTTAAATGTAGGCAAAAGTTAAATACACTGTATTTGTCTGTTTTGTTGACTTCGTTGACAACGATTCCGATTCTAGTCTATTGTAAACACAATAATATCCAGAATTTGATGAATAACTTGAATTACTTGCGAATTGAGGCCAAAGCGGAGAATGTGATTGTGAAGACATCGGTGTTGACAGTGATGGGCAGTTGGTTCGGGGCATTCCCTCTGGCCCTCGATTGGATGCAGCCGTGGCAGGAATGGCCCGTCAGTTCACACATGTCTTCATTTTATAGCTTATGATTAACTAATGTTTTGTTTCAATGTTTAACATTAGGTGAGCGTATGTTTGGGCGCAATGTTTACAAATCTGACCGCAAATATCCTCTCGTTTTGTTTCATATGTTATAAAATGAGTGAAAAACTTAAATGAATTTAATATAACTTATAAATCAATTACTTTAGTATTGAATAAAATTAATATTTTATATATTCAGAACAAGCAAAATTGTTTTTAATTTAAATGAAGATTTTATTTATATTTTATGACTTTTTATATACAATTATAGTTTACTTTACATTCTTTGATTTTATATTAATTTGTTTTGAATAATAAGCTTACAATACATTGATTTTTAATGATTTCTATTCATTTAAAGTTTTTTCTATTGACTAATAATTTAATTATATATTTTTGGTATAGAATATGAATTAATAATTTGAATGTTATTTACGAAACGAAAATGAGATTAAATTAATTATGAATTCATATAAAGTACAGAAATGACAAGAATTACATGTATTAGTATAAGTGCTAATAAAGTGACACTAGAGATGAATTCAAAATTTAAATCACAACAAAATACTGAATTACTTGTAAATAAAGTCAATGTTAGGAACATTTTTGACAGCAATTTAAATAACTGTCTGTTATTTGAAATACATTTGATTTCGATTGAGTTCATTGTCATCGAAATTATTGGAAATAATTGCCGAAACACTTGTGAGTGGAGTCACTGTTAGGCCTGGTATTGAAGCATCGGTGCCGTCAGGTTATGGCTGTGCGGCGTTGTGTTCATTCGCAGAGCAGAGAACCCCTTATTATACCAATTATTATCGTCTTCTTGTCTGATGACCGACATATCGGGCGTCGAGTGACTCATAGAAAAGGGTTGACCAGTCATTGGCGGGTAGGAGGATGTGGTCATCGGTGGATATCTGGTTGTGCCCATTGAGTTGATGGCATTGGCTGTGGAATATTGATAGCCTCGGGCGCCGTTCTGTGCACCACTGGCCTGATATATATTCCTCATCATCGCTCCATTACACGCCGGCAACATTGAAGGCGCCGCCAATGCCTTCTGTAATTGTTTCTCTTGTTTCCTATATTTGGCTCTTCTGTTCTGAAACCACACCTGAAGTCAAATCAAAATACATTTTTTATCAATTGCTAGCAATGTATTGAATATGCATTACAGTTATGGAACAAATTATAGAAATAATAATTAATAAAATAATTTGAAAAATTATGCTAATCTTAACTCCAGATTCCTGTGTGTCTTATATAAAGACCAGATTGTAATCTATACTCAAAATATAAATACAAATTTATTTTCAAAAATATTGACAATTTATTGATTCCCTAGATATTGGTATTATTTTAGATTTATTAAGAGTGAAATGTTGTTTATAACCTAAAAATTTTAGACAAATGAAATCATAAACGATTTAATTGTGTTTATATTATAAAGCTCATAGTAGCGTTAGGCAACTGATGAACCTAAGCGTTAGATATCACTACAAATACTTTTATTCCTATGTTAACATCCCATAGAATGTAGCCTTTCTAAAGATGCTAAAGATGCTAAATTCTTTAGATGCTAAATTGCCAATTTAAATTTAAAATTGGTTTCTTGTCTAACCCTAGTTAATAAAATAACATTATGTTTTCAATGAATTTCTACTTTATTTGATTTTAACATTTTATTATAATATTTGTGAGTTTATTACCAATAGGTTTTAAAAACATTGTAAACTGTCTAAAAAGTTGTAAAACTATTAAGAATATGCTATAAAAATGATTGTAAAAATGCTATTAAATTGTTATTTTGGAAATAATTTTTACAAATTACATGCATGTTTAACCTTGCTGCTTTGAACATTACTTCGTTATATTTTACTGTTTATAACGTTAAATATTATAATAAATAATTTTAATAATACTATTTACTAAACAATTTAAATTTATTATATGTACTTGGAATATTGAAAAATAGTACGAAAAAACAAATAAGATGATTTATAGTAGAAATTATATCTTTCAAAACACTAAAACCACTACATATTATGTCAAACTGATCAGGATGTTTGTTAGAGAATTAGAGAGGGTTCAACTTATGCAGTTTTTAGTGTAGTACAATATTATTTCATTTAGGATAAATTTTCATAAAAATGTGAACTTTTCACATGTTTTTCAACTATATACTTTTAATGTGGTGAAATATATGAACATCAAACTAATTAAACATTTTCCATTTAAGATAATAACGAATAATGTTTTGGTTTTTTAAAAATAGTTTAAATTTATTTAAGATTCTTGTAAATTCTGTTATATATTCTGTGAATATTTTACTTAAAGTATTAATACAAAAGTCTATACTATTAAATAACAATGAATTTACGCCAAATAAAGTATTATGTTAATTATTTAAATAAATTATATTTTAATAATAGTTGTTGATTTAGTTTAAATTACACAAATTAGTGATTTATTTAGTAAATATGTGCCATATAGATATCGCTAATATAGAGTGGTTGAAAATTTAGCCTAAATGTTCATTGAGACCCCTAAACGTTCCCAAACTTTTACCACTTACATCTCTAAATATTATACCAGGACAAATTTATAGTAAAAGTGCTAAAATCAGAACTATAATATAAGACAAGTTATGATACATTAATAATTTAAGATGCATTTTGAGTGAAAATATTGTGAATATATATATAAATATATAAAATATCACTTGTATTTCTCAAGTAAACGTAGAGAAATACACCACAACTAAAACATAAATAAAAGTTTTTAACAAACAATATTTTAATGCAAAACATAATGCAGGTCACATAATTTATATAAGATATAACACACGACCATATTTTTAATTTAAAAAGCACATAATTTACATCTTAATTAAAAATCTTGATAATAATCTTTAGGTTTTGTGCTTAAATGCGGTTCTGTCTTAATATCTGACATAAATAATGTTTGGATGAAATACTTTAAAACATCTTATTATCTCATATTCTAAAAGTGCCATGGTCAACACCGGTTAGAGGGAGGGCAGGGTTGAAATTAATTTAACGTGATTATTGAATGATCGAGTCAATTTTTAAGCATTAATTCAAGATAAGCGTTACTGTATTTATAATAATTATCTCCCCTTTGA